AACTTACGACTCGTATAAAATGCGAAAAAGTCTCTAAATTAACTTGAGTATTTTTGAGCAAAAACTCCTCTTGGGGGTTGGAAGGGTTATGATCGGTGAGTGAGGGAGTTATGCATGTGCGCGTGTCACACCAATCACGGTGCGGGTTGTATCAAAGAACGAATCAAATTGCCTGTTAGAAAATGAGATGGTATCTACATTAATCCGGAGACGTGTCAGATTACTGTAGTTTGTTCAGTGAAACATTTTATGGATTACTATTTACCATGACCGATGTAACATCGCATGTACATCATAAATTCCCAGTTTGTTTCTTGCTGTACATCACAACCAAAAAAACTCGTCAAATTAACCAAATCGTTACTGTAAACAGCTCCATGAATGCTCCTATCTCCGACGCTTCACACACAAAAAAATAACTCTTGCACGCCTTGCGTGCCTATGTTCACAAATAGACTTCTGGTAGTCCAATGGACTTACAACCTGACGACTAGATGTGTATTGGACAACCCTCCTTGAACGGAGGCTTGAGCGATCAGCGAACACAAGAGCAATGCTGTTTGTTTGTGTTACAGTCGAGTAGTTTCAATCCTGGTTTTTTGAGTTTTAATGCAATCGTAGCTCATTGAGAAGCCATTATTGCGCAAACGTTCATTGCCATGAAGACTCGTGACAAGATAAAAGAAAACGTCAGCTAGTAGATTGTACTGATTTGTTACCAAAATCTCCCAACCATCACATATGTATATAGCCGTCAGGAGGGAGAATTGATACTCTGATCTTGCCAGTGAACGATTTCAGGCAAAACGTTATTACTTTTCCGGTTCTTCATGAAGGGTTCTCTAGAAATAAAAGAATAACAACTTGGAACATTTCTTTGTCGCATATTCGTGACCACTGAATTTACATACATGCATCTTTTCAAACCTGAACGTTTTAAAGGAATATTATTACAGTCACGATTTGGAATTTCAGAAACAACAAATAAGTGATACTAGTACTGAGGGTAACTGTGTTGACCACGCCCGCAAAAGCTAGGACGACCAAACAGTCCCACTTTTCCGCCAAAAGCTCTCCATAAAACGACGGCCGCTCACAATAAAAGCTGACTATCAGAGGCTGCTTCAGTCTTTACAGGAAAGTATTAAATGTTACACGAGAACTTGAATTGTTTGTTTTGGCTGAGGCTGATGCAACTTATGGTAGATTGTGATGCCTTACTCCCCTCGATCGATCCTCTCCCTTCCGCTTTTCGTTTGAGACTAAGACTGTATTATCAGTCAATCATTAATTGGCTCAAAGTTACATGCTACTGAGCTTTGGGGAAATATTAAATGATGGAATGATTGAATTCATGGGAACACGAAAGAAATTGAATCTTATAGAGGGACTGTCCACAGTCTAACTTTACACCTGTGTCCATACCTCTGGAGAATAAGTATTGAAAATTACTTTTTTTTTTTCATTTCTTGTCCAGTTTCCAATCAGTTACAGGCTAAATAACGAAGTCCTCTGACATAAAATACTAGAAAATTATTTCTTCTTATCGCTAAACAGACCATAGAACCAATACAAATATTGCGCATGACAAGTATGGTAAACTGGTTTGGAATTTACTGGGTATCTCTGTACAAGTTATCATGCTTATCCTCGAACAAGGGTTCACCACACACTACGGGATGGAGTACCCTCCACACATCTCGAACCCCAGTTGTGACATTTTACAGTGTAATACATGTAAGCCAGTTATGCACTATGTTCTTTGATCTGGGGGTGCACTGTATGTACATTATTCCACAGTTCCCAAGTCCTTGCTACTGTGCCATTCTAGTTTGTCTGGGACATTCTGGGACTGACCCAGATCCAAGTTGTCACTCACTGTCTGCATTTTGATGTAGAGGTTATTTTCCCTCTGGTGAAATTCTGAAAAAATCAAGTTATTTTTAGAACGTGGATAGCTCAGAAACAAGCATATGTACTCTTTGTAACAGGAATACACTTCTTTAGTGTTCACTGACTCATTGATCTGTTAACTACAGTAAGATGACTTTCGCTTTCGAATTCACCAGTTGTGTAGTTGATAGCTTCCACAAAGCTTTCGATATTAATGAGTGTTGTTGTCATCTTACAGGACTTATTCCATGAAATTTACAGTCCAGGTGTAATTTGTCATTGATTGATATTCATCTCAGGTAAGCATCGTAGAAACTTGCGACTTTCAAGTCTGTTTAGCATGTAAATTTGTCGGGTGTCTGGAAAACACGTATAGCGAATGGTTGTGAATAGCGAATAGCAAATAGTATGAATAGTGCGAATAGTTTCGAATAGTGTGAATAGTGGCGAACACTCGCGAATAGTCACGAATAGTCATCAATAGTCACTGCCGTAGTTCAGCACTGATCTGTATTTGTTGAAATTCAAATATTAAACGATACTTAACCTGTAAGTTGAAGTTTGATTGGAATTCTATCCTCCACCAAGCATTGAAGGATCATATGTCCTCCCTTCTCAAGCCCTCACCCTTATATTGACTGGGGGTTTCTCCACTGCATACATGGTAAGTGCTTTAAAAACTGAGGTTGCGCAGGTGCAATGCTATCTCATGTAATCCCTCAGTGCTTGGTGACGGATAGAATTCCAATCAAACTTTAACTTACAGGTAAGTCTCATTTAATTTTTAAATTTTATTCCATCACCGCACTGAGGGCTCGCATGAGACTTTAAAGCACTCTGCACACATGTGACAAACTCATCACAGAATCCATATTCTGTAACACAACACTTTGTCTGTAGAGTATCTATGACACAACAACCCCCTAGTCCACAGATTTCAGAACATTTTCTGCAAAATCGTTCTCAACATCAACAGGTTTGTTGTAAAATTTATCAAATGTGGCGCTGAACTCCACCCAGATGTTGACAGAATTTTATCTAAGGGAACGGAATACACACTCGCTTTGGATGTGGCTGCAGCACTAGTACTATGAGGCCGGAACAGAGCAAAACTTATCCCAGACCTGTGCATAACAACCATAATCCCTTTGCTAATTGTTCTCCTAGAAACTGGCTTAATGAACTAATGAACCATGCCATATTGTCACCACGTTTGCATCTTGTGCAAGCTAAGAACATCCTTAGAGTAGGGATCACACAAATGCGAGGATCAGAAGGATATGAAGTAAACGTGACTACTACTTTCTGTTATTCGTCACTATTCCCCCCCCCCCCATTTGTCACTATTCTCCACTATTCGTGACCACTTCGCGACTGTTTGCCACTATTCGCACTTTTCGTACAATTCGCTATTCTCTACTCGCGACTATTCGCTATTCGCTATTTCGGTTTTCCAGACACCCAAATTTAACAAGTTTCCGGAGGAGCACCCTCCTTGTAGCCCTTCCCTTGATTGATTATGCGTCCGATTTAGTTCTTAATCAAGGATTATTCAGCCTCTTGATAGTCCATTGTTTTATTGTAGTTGTCCATCCCATCACAATACCTGTTTTTTGCATTAATTCGTAAAATCTCTTGGAGTTCACATTGACGGTGTGGCTGGGCACTTTACTCCATTGTGCTGTCAGGGGACCCTGCTGAAGAGGCACATTCCATGTACATGTGTAACGGGCCAATTTCCTAGCCAGGGGCGCGGGTGGTCAAGGCACTTGGCTGCTAAGACTGCCTTTGAGCTCTTTGCCGCCATGTTTTCACGAATACAGTCCTTGAGATCAAAATGGACCTGGAAGGGCCCAAAAGGACAAGGTTCCACTCAGGTGGCATCCCATGTTTAGGACATTGCTCAGACAATTTGGCTTCCTGGAGCCTTTTTGGGCTTCATACCTGAGAGATTTGGCAACCATTTTGTTTTAACAAGTATTGAAATACTTACAGTAACGCTATTTAGTACTATTGATCCCAGATGTCTGTTGAAATGGCTGGTTTTTCAGGCCATTGCATGCACTGTTGGTTTCATTCACGTGATTCAAAAAAAGTGATCACGTGATAACGATTTCATGATCGTGTGATAAGTGAATCTCAGCCGTTGGGGAAGTTGTTTCACAGTTTGTTTGCAAGTTTGTCGAGTTCCGCACTTTCTAGCAAGATGCAATCCATCGTATGGATAAGATTTGCCTCGAACTGGGTACATTTGAGGAATTTGCCACCGCTGTGCTGCAAACTTTGGGCATCCGCGCCAAGAGATGTTTGTCATCGCGTGATCACTTTTTTAAATCACGCGATTGAAACCAACGGCGAGTGAAACAGCCTGAAAAAGGCCATTTCAACGGACGTTTGGGATCAAAAGTATACGGCTACAATCTTGGTCAGAAATAAGAAATAAAGCCACCCCTCCCCCGAATCAATGATGAACTGGCGCTAACCCCAAAATGTGCCATTTTTCCCATCATTAAATTCGCCGCTACCCATTTATATACCTGGGTGGAGAAAGGCACTGTGAGAGAAAATTGTGTTGCCCAAGAACACAACGCTATGTCTCCGGCCAGGGCTCAAACCCGGACCGTTCGATCCGAAGACAAGCGCGCTAACCATGAAGTCAGGGCACCTCCCGCATACACTGTAGGCCTGGGGGTCAAAAGGTCACACAAGTATCCCCACTATAACTAGGCACAACACCAGAGGGTTATTCCCATTGTATTATGAAAATGGCTGAAATAAGAAGTTTTGCTATAAAAGGCATGATACTACATGCCTCCCACAATATCACACTTTTTAGGTGCAAAAATCAAATTTGTCCTTTTGCAGACTTGGCATGTTGCGAAATAAAGCCTCCTGCCGTCTGAAACACCCTTAAAATATCAGGAAACCAACATAAATGCTAGTATTGGGAAAAATATCAGTTATATTACTTGTTTATGTTTAAACGAGAATTCTGAAACACATTTACTGAGTTGAAGAAAATTTGTAGCTTGTTTGTCAATGGTTTATGCATTGGTGGTTGACTGACAACTGAGAAAATGCATAGCATGGTTAGGTGCCTTTTATACAGGAAGTTGTGTGTAATAATGTTTACGAGATAAGTAACTACAACAAACATTTTATTTTACTGTTTTAAATAGTACCTCCAGTGAGTCAAGATGCATTGAGAGATAGAAGAAGTCAAGTCGGAAGAAACTCAGTAAGTTCTAGGCTCAGTTTTAACAATATTTTTTCATGACCAATTTCTTACAAAATTGAGGTAAAAGACTGCATGCGAGCCAAATGGCCCATCAGACGGACCCTGTCGTGGTTTCTGTGGAATGAATTCACTAGGAGACTACCTGGATGGGATGCTAGTCCATCGTAAGGTTACCCCCAGCATTGTGTTCGCCGGTACCCATTTGTACACATGCGTGGAGAGAGGCACTGTGACAGTTAAGTGTCTTGCCCAAGAACACGACACAATGTCCCCGGCCAGGGCTCAAACGCAGACCACTTGATCTGCAGATGACCACACTAACCATGAGGCCACCGTAAGGGACTGATCCTTATTATGAGCCTGGTCTGTCTAGCACTCATGAATGTGCAGTTGCCGGAATATAAACAACAGCATGCATTCCTTGGTTTCCTCCCGATGTGGGATGGATTGGTCGCTTTTGTAATTTGAACTCCATGCAACAAGATGTGTTTAAATTTACCAGGTGGCGTGGGGCCGAACTGCTCATGCTCCAAATATTACAAATATTACAACAAGTGTGACTTACGTATATCACTCTCAGCAGACCCCAGCAACAGAGAACAATTCGAAATACCTTTTGGAAAAACACCCTGAACAGTCACAACCTTTTTTGCAACAATTATTTCCCCCGCAAGGTTTTGATTAAACCAGAGGAGGTATCGTTGAAGTCTGCGCGTATCATAGTTTGAGTATGAATAGACCGTACAGTGTGGATATACAGTGTGTATACCCAGAAAAATCTCGAGTCGGCAAAAATGAGCGAGCACGTAGGTGACGGGTGATTGATTTCATTGATTAATGTCCACAAAGAAGATTGACATATTGCCGTTGCAACGCTGTTGTGGCATTTAGCGAAACGCTGCGAACGGAGAACACATGAAAACCGAACAAAGTTAGGGGTAATTTAAAGCGAAATTGCCAATGTTTTCTTGAAGAATAAGAACAAAACGAAAGCCATGAAAAAAATTGACACAGCCACTTTCATTGACTGACAGACTTAGTTCACAACCAAGCTTTCGCAGCTCATGTAATATATCAAACAAGAGAGACAGTATTTCAGTGGGATATCCAAACACCAAGAAGACGACGCGCAGCGGAGTGTTTTTGACGAAGTTCGAGGTGTTTGGATAGCCGTTGAAACACTGTCTGGAGTGTCAGATATATCTTCTCAATCGAAACAAAAACTAAGGAGGAAACGGAGAAGTAAAATCGTCAAAATCCATGCTAATTAAGAGCAAATGTACACAAAAATCAAAAATAGTTTGGTAAGGCTTGATAAATCGAATTTGCCCTACTGTTGCATATAAGTAGGCCTTAGTAAAAGTAAAAACGTTAGGTAGCTTTTTTCTTCAAATATCTTGTTATTTCCGAGAAAAAGGACATCGATTTCACGTCCAGACATCAATCTGGCTGAAAATCGACCATTTTCATTCGATTCGCATTTCTCAACTATTGAGCGCAAAAAAAGTTGCAATACAATCAACTTAATGCAGAACTATTCCTTGTCCAAAAGAGCCCAGTTTTAAGAATATTGGATTAATCCAACTATTTGGCGGTAAACAAAACCAAAGTGTTCTCCAACGATGAGTTCGTCAGTCGGTGAAAAGAATTGTCATTTTGACAAAATCACTTCAATTCGAAATATCACAGGAATATCAGCACGACTTAAGCATAAACAATATAAATATGTTTACCTTAGCCGAATTATCATGTCTTGACTATCAAACAAAATTCCCATCCTGCCATTTTAACGGTGTTCCATTAGCTTTGCATAACCTGTATTCGTCTGGTGAATTTGAATCCCCCAAATCGCTCAATATTACCAAGTTCCTATGTAAATGTTCCTACGTTTTCCGTTTTGTTGTTCGGTACAATCATTNCAAACAACATTCCCATCCTGGCATTTTAACGGTGTTCCATTAGCTTTGCATAACCTGTACGCATTCGACTGGTGAATTTGAATCCCCCAAATCGCTCAATATTACCAGGTTCCTATGTAAATGTTCCTACGTTTTCCGTTTTGTTGTTCGGTACAATCATTCAACCTGCTTTCAGGCAGAAATCCCCAGTAATTAGCAATATAAACAAATAAGCCGCCATCTTCGATCGCTCACGTCTCGTATTTGCATATTATCCAGCAAAAGTCTTTGCACACAGGGTAGGGGTAGACTGGGACTTATTTCCGAAAGAAAAAGCGTTAGAATTTTTTCCAATATCTCGATGTTAGTTCTAATTCAGGGCTTCCTTTCTTAGGTAAAGCGATAAAATGCTACACACTGACAAGGTCTTTGTCGCATTAAATTCAAACAAAGAAAAGTAACTCTGTTTAAAGCTTTGAAATCCCGACCCTCACCCCCTTGTAAAATATGTTGTAACGCACCGGTCTCGGATAAACATCTTCATTCAAAATGGAGACCTTTCAAACGTGTTCAAAATGGAAATCCGAAAGTCACACGTGGAATAACGCTTTAGCAGTTACTACTGGCTTAATCAAACGACACAAATAACACAGATAGAATGATATATCCAATAATACATACATGGAACTTGAGAGTTTTCTTCTCAAAGTCGGATATGAGTACTGACAAGAAATGCAGGGAACGAATCAGTTTGCAAGATTCAGGATACTATAAACCGAAGTAGGTGAACATGTTATTTTTATGTGCATGTCATTTATACTGCTTGGTAATGCTGACGTTTCGAACTGAAGTATTAAATGCCGATATGCTGATGATAAACAAACCGAAGTAGGTGAACCTGTTATATTTTTATGTGTATGTCATTTATACTGCTTGGTAATGCTGACGCTTCGAACTGAAGTATTAAATTCCGATATGCTGATGATACTTTTGGTCACGCACTCGGTAGCTGCTGGTGTGATTTTGTGTCTTTTGTGAACGATTTTGAATTATTTTTTGACGAGTGCCTAATCATTTGCCCAAACTAAGCTTTACATATATTGAAAGACCTATCCTAGTATAGTTAGAATCTAAAATCTTGTGGAATTCCGAGACATGGCAAAATGACAATTCTTTTCACCGACTGACTAACTCAATTTTGGAGAACACTCTGGTTTTTTTACCGTCAAATAATTAGATTAATCCAATGTTCTTGAAATTGTCCTTTTTTAGACAAGGAACAGTTCTACAATAAGCTGTTTGTATGACAACTTTTCTGCGCTCAATGGTTGCGAAATGCGAATCGAATAAAAATGGTCGATTTTCAGCCGATTTTCAGCCCAGTTCGCTAAATTGAATGAAATTGAGTCTGAAGGTTAAATCGAAAAAACAAACAAACAAACAAACAAACAAACCGTAGTCGTTTTTCTTGACAAAGACAAAGCTACCTCAAGGAAAAAACTACAGCCTGTTTGCACTCTTGCTAGGGGCTAGCTATATGCAAACGACGAGTAAATTTGAATTTTCTAGCCTTGCCCAAGAAATTTGATTTTGTTTGATTTTTGTGGGAATTTGCTCTTAAGACCCTCCTTCACTGTTGTGATTTTGTTTGCTTTAACTTGATGTATTATTAGTGAGTTTGAGAACTGTCGTTGAAAACCGCGCAAGAATATCGATCGCAACTGACTGAAGTGATCAATTGCAACTCTTTAGTAAGGTTGATATGTTTAAGCTTATCCTTTCAGCCAAACCATACCTTTTTGGTTTATTTAGGCGGCTTCATATTGTCGGTTACCAATTTATACCGTTTATATGATAACATAGAAAAGAAGAAGGTGAGTAACGGAATTGCTTAGAAATTAAAGCTTTAAGAAATCGAAGCGGAAAGCCTTTTATCGTTTGAATTACTCGTATGTTGCAATCATTCAAGTCGAGTCATTTAGTGGCCTACGTTGAATCTTTTCATAACTTTTAGTGCTCCATATAATTTCCCCCGAGGTAAATTGCGGTATCTCATAATTTCAGATGATACGTAACTAAATACTAAGGCTAAGAGAGCAAACTATTTGAAGTATGCTAAGAATTGAAGAGTGATCTTTATGACATGCGCAAGGAGTTGTCACCTAGGCGAGAAAATTTAAGACATGAGCGGTATGCTTAGCGTACTATTCATGTTTTAAATTTTCTCACCTACGTAGGTGACGAAATAACCATGCTTGAGAAAGCTAAAAACACAATTAAAACAAAGAAATCAATAACAAGAGAATCATACACGAGAAAAGAAAGCAAACCATAATGGCACAGCGGGGGCAGCTGTACTGTCAACTACTACTAGTTATTAACCCTGTTACTTTTTTCTGTATGTAGTTGCCGTTGCTGGACTGAACCTTCACGCTTCAGGTTTCAATGGCAGCTGCAACTCCTTCACCCCTGGCGGCCTCTACTGAAACAACAAATGGAATCAAGTTGAGGAGACTTCTTGTCGATGGTGGAACGACAGTTCTAAGGAAGGTTTTTGATGGCATTCATCCTCCCACAAAACTGACTGCTAATCTCCACTTGAATAATTCAACTCTAGATGACCTCTTTGCGAGAGGAATCCTTAGTGAACAGCAGAGAAATCGTCTGTTTCCCCCAGATGGATCCAAACCAGACTCGAAGA